GAGCAGTTAGTGGCGAGCGGGATGGGAAAAGGATGGGCCGAGGTTTGCGCTCGCGGGGGGACGAGAAAGCTGGGAGAGGGCCGACGGGGATGTGGATATGTCGTGGTGAAGGACGAGGGGTAGGCTGGGCCGGAATGCGTAAAAGCAGTTGACGACAATGTGCATGACATGAAATTAGGGCGGGGTTAAAGAGCGGGGACGGGACGGATCTGACGGAGATGGAACGAGAGAGGGTGTGCGAATAAGAGGAACTCAGACAGGAAACCATAGGATGCTCTTGCCAGTTAGACAGGAAAACGGTGCCTGCGGTGTCTATCTACACATATCCGCTTCATGTTGCTTTTCTTTGCGCATCTCTGCCATGGCTTTAGAACCCTTCCCCAGAGTTTTCACTCAAAGCTCCAGGACTTTGAGGAGAAGAGGGAGCAGGGGAGGTCACCGTGGCCCCCGCATTCCGTGTGGAAGTCGTGTTTTCTACCTTCTACTTGCCTGTCGCAGTGTGCCCACACCCCTTGCGTAAAGCATGGATCTTTTCTTCTTCACTTGTGCGACTGGGGCCGCGGGATGCGGGTAGACCATACAAAGCGTCGGCCCCCAGGCTCGATCGCTGCCTCGCCCGCCAAAGTTCAACCCTCCTCCCCCCTATGCTCTCTACAGGGAACCATGGCCGCCAGAGCACCGCGTCCTCTGCGCGACCGAGATCTACGACCCGTCCTTTCCCCTCCAAGACACGCCTCGCTGGACGAGCCTGTGAGGCTTCCTGTGCTTCTTTACGTCCCAAATCTGCTCTGTTATGCCCGCCTCCTCCTCAGCATCTACGGCCTCTCCATGGTAATCCAGACAGTCTTGCGTCAACAGGAAGCTTCTCGCCGCGCTCTCTTGGCCGGAGAAGCAGCAAATTGCTCAGTGCAGGCTGTCGTGCAGATGGCGACACATTACGCTGCCCATGCCGGCTATACTACGGGCTTGCTCGCCCCCATCGCCACCACGCTCCTGGGGAAGGCCTTGGCGCAGGCGTCCTCCGCCCTCCTGCGTGACATGGAGCGGCGCGCAGGCAGCACGGGCGAGACAGAGGCTCTCCCCACCGTGGAGCCCGACCTCCTGGCCGCCCTGGTGGTTTTTCTGGCGGCTGGGGCCTTGGACCTGTTGGACGGGGTGGCGGCCCGCCGGATGAAGCAATGCTCGCGCCTGGGGGCCCTCCTGGACGTGGTCGCCGACAACGTTCTCCGCGGATGCATGTGGGTGTCTTCCGCTCTCCTCGATGCGCGCACGGCCCTCCCCGCGCTCATCTGCATCAGCGTCGAGTGGCTGACCCTCCTGGCCTCGCAGCTCTTACAGCACCGGGAGCAGGGGCGTCACTGGAAGAAACTGAGGACTTCGGAACCCTGGGTCGTCCGCTATTTCTTTTCCAACAACTTCAGGAACGTGTTGGGCGTGTACGGCGTGGGAAGCCTCTTTCTCGCCCCTCTCTTCCCGCTCTGCCTCCACG